CCCCAAAACCCCAAAACCCCAAAACCCCAAAACCCCGGAGAAAGGTTTAAAAATTGAAAAATTATTAAGTTATAATGAGCAAAAATATAGGAGATAAGAAAGATACTGAAAAGAGAGATCGTCTTAGAACAAGAGATCAATCAGATGCTTATAGTTCAAAGTAAGTTTTTGAGAAATTTGATGATCATTGCAAAGTTTAGAGCTGGCTTTTAATCATTTTATATCTAAAAGTTTATGAATACTTGATAATTTACATGTTTTGATATTAAATCTCCTATACCCTTTTGCAAATCACACAGTTTAAATTGCTCCTTCTTTGCTTCTAAACCCTACCAAATGCTTTCAACTCCTTATCATATCTCCGTCCAATGTACAGTCCCCCATCTTTATAGCTCCTCAAGAGAACCTCCATCGCATCAAGTTCCTTACAACCAGAATCCTCTTTACCAAACTTCTAATCAGAACTATCCTCCAATCCCACCTCCTTTTCAGCAGCCTGCTTCCAGTTCCATCCAATCCCCAATGCCAACTTATCAGTATATCCCATATTATCCTACAGTGTCTCAAACCCTTCATCGGTCTTAAATGTCGATTATAACATGAATGCTCTACCATGCCCTCCATTAAACCATCTAAATGCTAACCAGGCACGGTCATCTATATCTGATGCTAACAAGATGAATTTATATGAAATCGAATATGGAATCCCTCAGGAGACAATTTAAAAAATTACTGATCGCTCATGTAAGATGCTTGACTCTGGAGTTTGCTCCATTCATAAACACTATGATTAAAGTTCTTCATAAATTCTCCCATAATCCTTTCGCCCAGATCTCAATTTCAAACTCAAATCCTACTAAACTCCTTCTTAAAACTCCTCATAAACCTCGTTCCACTCACTCCCCATTCTCCTTCTAAGCCTTAATTCCTAAAACCCTCCTTATATCTAACTTTACTGATAGAGTTCACAACTGGGCGAAGCCGAGGTCACTGAGTTCATAAACTCTAGCTTCTTCGAGTAAGTACTATTTCCTTCCTTAGTGGCATGATTGCTGGAGAGAGGGCTTGTTAATTTTTGGAACTGGGATATTAGTATTTGGATGAGAAGGAGCTGGAGGGGTGGAGGTTTGGGAGGGAGTTAGGGATTGGGGAGTTTGGGAGGTTTGGGAGGAAGGTTAGAAGGGTTTAGGAGGGTTTAGGAGAGTAAATTTGTGTGGTTGGAGAGGGTAAGGCAGAGTCTGGGTTGGTTAATAGTGATGTTGGGGTGAAATAAGGAATGGGAGGCTTAGATTGTTGTTCAAATGTTTTGTGAGAGATATAGCCATTAGTTTTCAGAATTTTGAGGATATCTGAAATATAAAAATCACCTGTTTTGGACAACCATTTAGGTATACCTCTTAATAGATACATTAAGATAAATACCAAAGTGCAATACTTTGTTGTTATGTGATATCCAAGATTGTTTTCATATAATTAGAGCTTGCTTACTTTTGAGACAGTCAAAGTTCAGCCTCTTATTTTAACAATATGATACCCTCAAGTTTAAAAATTAGGATATGTATTTCAAAATTTATAATTTCTTAATGAGACAAGCATTGTTAACTTTCTTTACAAGTTTTAAAACAATTATTTTCTCTATCACTATACTGTTCTTTCCATTTAAGGCTCTCAGAGGTCAATTCTACCAATCAAATTTAAATTATTAGCTTCTGAAAATTAGCATTAATGATTTAGATTTTTATAAAAGTTGCTACCTTAACTTAAGCTAACACTCTTTGATTCATGGCTCTTTAGAAACTTGGAGAGAAATTTCGAGCCAAACTCAACCCCTTATTTGGAGCTACATTGCTTAAACGACTCAGATGTAACTCAAAATAAAAACCAGGCAAGTTCAGCCCAAAATTTAGAGATTAACGAAGGTAGGCTAGCAGCGATACAACTGAATAACCACAAGCACTTTGGAATATAGATCACTCTGTTCTACCTGCTCCCTCTGCTTCACTTGCCGATCCTTCACCTCATAACTTCAGATTTCAGCCTTTCAAAAGATTGAAACAAGCTAGTTCGGAAGATCAAAGACAAGAGTTAGGAGAAGCCCCATCAATTAATGAAGAAAAGAAAGAAGGTAAGTTTTACTTTAGAGCTTCTCTTTACCCGTATTAATCATTAGACCCTTTACTTCAGTAACCAGATGCTTTTGAGACAAGATATTGATTTCTTCAAGTTTTTACACATTTGTGAATCTTAGCCAAATTTAAATTTGGGCTCCAAAATTAAGAACAAACTGGAGCAAGTTAATAGTGTGGGTCATAGGAGCAAAGCATGTGTTTTTATGTGAAATTTAGATGTAGTTATTCTGATGTAGAATTATGAGCAACTGAAATTTCCTAGTGCTAATAGAAACATGACTTCCGGAAATAATCCATTTTCTTTGTTATATCATTATAAATCCCCTAACCCAGTTTTTCTTCGTCCTAATTCCCAATCTGAGTTCATATTTTAGTCACAAAAAAAATAACCAAAACTTCTAACTTTAGGCAAATCCAAGAAGAGAAGTTTCAACAAGAAATGCAAGAATCCTATCAAAAGGTAAACCTTAATACCCAAAGCCTAACTGACTCTAACTTAGTGACCAGCAGAAGGTTCAACCCAAAACTTATAAAAAGAACCCAGACAAGAGTAGAGCACTTCACAAGAAAGATGATATGACAAGCAAACTTAGTGAAAACTCTGAAGACATTGAAGAAGAACTTAAGCAGACAATTAATGACAGATGGGACAATTACACCTTAAAGAGAGACCCAGAGAATGAAGCCGCTTATGTGAGTCTCATACCTCATTCTTTTTAGAAGGATAAAATTGCATCGAGTTTAGCGAATAATATTACTTGCAGCATTTGTAAAATCCAAACTCAGTTTGATGATGTAGATACCATCATGAATTATAATTGTCGTAATACTAGGCTTTAAAACTTATAGATGGACCGGAATGCCATTATTTCCACAAGGAATGTTTCAAGCAAAAAGCCACTGTAAGTTTCTATAATAATTAGCCAAACCCGCTATAGAATATTCTTCAAAAGGCTAAGCGTCCCCTCAAATGCTTCGCTCCAGACTGTGAAAGTGACCTAGGTAAGTGCATCCCCTTAAGACTCCTGTAGATCAAACAAGTAAGATGTTGACGCCTAATTTTAGCTGTCAGAAATATAATAGAAAAAGAATATGTCCCTTTATTTTCAATTGCTTGCTTAAGTCTTGACTTTTCTCTATTCTATTGCCTTACTTGAGACATAATCTGAAGAGACGAAACAGAGAAAAAGAGCAAGGAAGAGAGCAAAGAAATAGGCTCAAATTTAGCCATCAACTGTTCAAAATGTCCTGAAAGAGCGTATAACTTAGTTGAGTTTTGGATGTTCAAGTGCCACTACACTTATTATCAAAATCTGAAAGACAGAAGAGAGAAAGATCTAGAACTGATTAGCTCACCTACTTTGGTTGAAATATTGCATGATAGCAAGTCTGTAAGAGGCTTACAAGACCTAGCCAATAATGTTATGGCTGGGGTTGCAAGACTACTCATGAAATGTATTACTTGCAACAAGTGGATCAATGAAGAGTACGGCTCTCAATGCTCATGTAAGGATCAAATAGATGAAGGTATTTTCTTCACTGATATCAACAAAAGGAAATCCTATGAAAGCAAGAGAACAGGAATGTACAACAATAAAGATGCTAAAAGAGCTTTAACAGCGATTTCAAACTTGATCACAGCTCATAATAAATATTTCAGATCCAAAGCCAAGAACAAGTAGTTCTAAAAATGGCTGTTTTACATTTAGTTATACAACTCAGAGACTCAATTCTTTTATTAAAAAAAGGGGTTTTGGGGTTTTGGGGTTTTGGGGTTTTGGGG